TACTGGTCCCCAAACTAACAACTACTTTCCGCTGCACCCATCTTCACCTCTCCTAACTTCTGGGCTGCTAGAAATTGAGGGGATTACCTGTCAGTCTTAGCATACACTAGCATAGCAATAATTTATGATTGTTTAGAACACAAGTTTAGAGGTCTGAAAGATCTGGATTCAGATCCCGGAGGGCCATTGTGATTTCTGAGCCTTGGGCTTATCTGTACAGTATTTCTATCTCAAGAGTTAAGACTGTAAAATAACTCACACCAAGAACTCATTGGAATGCTTAATACCAAGTAAGTATTCTGTAAACTGTAGTAAGTACTACACTCAAGAGATCTCATGCTGGGCAGTAAGTAGAAATAGGAGGGATGGGAGTAGGTGCTGACATATTAACAAGCCCTGTTGCAGTTCCACTAGGAAGTCTCCCAAAGTGATAAATTTATCCAGTGTGAAACTAACCCCTAGAGTCATAGTTCAGACCTAGGTACCCTGCAACAGCACAACGCAGGCAGGAGTTGAAGAGAGCCAAGTGTAGTGTGGGGTTTAAACCTTCGTATCTATTATTATTATTATTATTATTATTATTATTTTAGTTTTTGTTTTTTTAAGACAAGCCTTGGCTGTCCTGGACTCACTTTGTAGATCAGGCTGGCCTCGAACTCAGAGATCTGCCTGCCTCTGCCTCCCCAAGTGCTGGGATTACAGGTATGTGCTGTGCCACCTCGACTGGCTAGGTTTAAACCTTTTAGTGAATGGGAAAGAACATAAAAAGCTGAGTGGAAGAAAGAGGAACATATCAAACAAACATGGAGTCAGTGCAGGTGACACACATTCCTCCATTGCTCATGCGCTCTTAGTGTACCTTGACGAAGTTCAGAGGGGAAAGCATATCCATGAAGAAACTGCTCCACGGGTCTTCAAACGCAGCATCAGAAAGAAGGCTTATGATTCCAGAATTCATTTCCTGTAAACTGACCATCCCAAGTCAGAGCTCATGCCCTGCCCTCAAGGACATTGCTTCTCCCACAGACCTCGGAGGCTTTCAGACCTGGGTTCTGAAGACCAAGATTTCTCTCTTCCCTAGCTGTGTGGCTGCTGATCTCCAACCCATGACCATTGCTGACCCAGGATAAGAAACCTGAGACTGGACCCAAGGAGCATGAAAGCTCCTTAACCTCAGACTCTAAAATGAGAGAGGACAGGAACAGAGGGGGAAGGGCCCTTCAGATACCTACCCAATGATACATATGTCCAGATTCAGGTCTTGGTTGTTCAGCTGAAGTAGGTCACTGAGGTCCACAGTGGGGGATGCTGAGGCCACATTCCATGTCACAACATGCATGCTGTGGAAAGGATGGTAAGGGCAGCCACAGAATATGGAGGCTAAGATTTTTCCAGATAAGGGAACTAGGCCTGTCAATGGCTTCCACTCCAGTGTTAATGAGAAATGTATTGGCATATTTGTTTAGTGTTTTTGAAGCAGCATCTCACTGTGCAGCCCTGACTGGCCTCAAACTCCTTATGTCAAGAGTGGCGAAACTCGTGGAGATCCGCCTTCCCCTGACTCCTAATTCTGGCATTAAAGTTGTATAGCGTATGCCCAGCTTTGTTTCTGCATCTTGCGGTAGGAAAAGAGGAAAAGGAGCAATGGAGTATAAAGCTTTCACCTTCCCTTTTCTCCCCTGAAGCTGGATCTCTTCCCTTGAACTGGCTCCTCTGCTCAGGTTTACAGCTGCCCATACCTGGCATCACCTGACCCAGAGCCGCCAAAGGGAACTCAAAAGCAGCTGGCCAGGAAAAGGAAGGACTGAAGACTTGGACAGACAGGAACCTGTTATCATTTGCCCCTCCAGGTATCTACACCTCATCCACCAGCCTCTGTGGTTCAGTCAGCAACTTTGTACTCCCACTCTTCAAACTATGGGTTCCTCGGAGCACCAAGATGGTGTCGGAGATTGATTGTACCTGGCCACATGCCTCAGAGCTGGGAGAACAGAAATTCAGAAAGAGCAAAGTCGACAGCATATTCCCTTTCTCACTCCTGCCCTGCACATCCCTGGAGCACAGCAGATTCTGCCAAGGCCTTCATGCAGCCTACATCCAAGTTTCTAAGTAACAGGTTTCTTAATATCTATCTCAAGAGTATATATTCTCTATTGGGAAAAGTCACCAATTGGAGAATAACATTCCAATCTCAGCTCCCTAAAAGTCCTAGAGTATTGGGAGAAATAATTAGCAGCTCTCAGAGACCATTACATCTCCATTACAAGTTCACAAAAATAAAGACTCATTAAACCTTTGAGTGAGTGTGTTGCTATAGCAACAGTCCAAGAATCCCAGACTGTTCCCAGGACAGAGCAAGCAGGGGCTGAGACTGTACAGAGCTGAAGCCTTTGAGTTCCAGGAATACTGAGGCACTGAAGCACAAGATCCCGAAGATCCATCCAGAGAGGGAAGGGCAGGCTGTTCTGAAACATCTCTTCTCCACCAGATGCTGTTCTTAGAGGCACATGTTCTAAGAAGCATGACTTGTAAAAAAGAAATTCTTGGCTGGCTTAAAACAATTTCCTGCCTCTCCCTATGAATACAAACAAAATAATACAAAACCACCTTCTCAGGCCCCCTGAGAGACCGTTACTTCTCTGTTTTCCGTCTCCCCCTGCTGTCCAGCAGAGGATTAAGGCGGGTAACCCTTTCACTCAATGGCTCCTTCTATTCTATTCCCAAGCACTTACTCTAAGTGGATAATGAATAAAACTTGGGATTTCTCGTCCCAGTTCTCAGTTTTGAGGATTAGCAGCAAATCCATGCACCGTGATTGGATGATTAGCGGTGTTCCTCGTGATTAGAGAGCAAGCATGAGAGCAGGCTTCACTTCGCTAAAGGATTTTATCTAAATCTGATGTCGGATTTCTAGAGATCATAACCGGATCAAGAAGACCCCATGATGTACTACTCATAAGAAACAAGAACAAAACTTCTACGCTACAGTTGAAGGGGCGAATATGGGCCCTCAGTAGTCTGACGCTGTGTGCTCCAAAAACCGACTGGACACTTGCTTGGGGAGCATCTGCAGTGACCAACTCGACAGCCCGAGTTTAGAGCGGGCATCAGATCTAACACAGCCCACTCAACACGGACCTGGCAGAATTTAGGTGTCCAAACTAGGCCAGCCTTACAGGCCTGTCCTCTTGATTCCATTGCGGTTTGGTACCCGGCCCCACAGAGGAGGCTGAAGACAGCTAACCGCCAGGAACCGACCGGCCTGCACCTGCATCCTCACCTGAGCACAAAGCCTTTCCGTGGGCTGGGCCTCCGGGGGCTCACTGCCGACATCATTCCCACGCGCGACCCGGTAGGCTAGTGTCTCCGCGCTCCAGCTAGGGAGGGCCGAAGCAGCCCTCGGTCGCCAATCTCTGCCGCACTGCTCCCTCCGGATTGTTTTTCTTCCGGATTCTGACTGCGCTTCGGCTTCCGTAGGAGGTGGATCGCGAGCGCCCGGGGCTGTGGGGTGCGGTTGGGAAATAGAGGCGGGACCCTCCAGCCGACGGACACGCCCAGAGGCGGAGCGGAGACAGGCTCGGAGACGGAGAGGCGTGTCCTAGGTGTCACCCCCCCCCCCCCCCCCGCCGCGCACGCCACACCGCCCGCACCGACGTGCGAGTGGGCGGCGGCGCGGCCTCCCGGGCCCCGCATTCCCAGCCTGCCTTGCGCAAGGGCGCGCGCTGGAGCAGCATCGCGGGCGGAAGTCGCCATGGCGCGCCGACTGCCGCTGGCTCGCTACCGTCCTGCGGCGTGAGGTCTTCGCTGCCGCCTGCCCAGCCTCAGGAACCGGATGTGGACGGGGTGGGGACGCTCAATGTAGCCTGCTTGGCAGCTTGGCCTCCCTCGCCTGCGCTACAAGTAATTTCTGATGTTCCTTGGCAGCCTCGTAGGGGCCACAGAGCACTTGCGTTTTTAAGGGACTCGCTCTCAGTCCTTCGTCGTCGACCCCCAAGACTTGCTATTAAGTCCTGGAGCTTGCTATGCAGACCAACTGCTCCTCCCTCAGAGCAGAGATTACATGAGAGCACCGCCACAGGCAGCTCGAAACTAGTTTTGCTGAATACAAAGTACGTTTTGGGACTCCAGAGCTTGGAAAATTAGCTATCAATGGATGAAAAACAAGTCGTTGCTCTTATTTGCTGTGTATTTGACGGATCATCATGATGATTTACACTGCCTGGGTCTTTTATATTTGGATTTTCAAGACAAGGTTTCTCTGTGTATCCTTGGCTGTCTTGCAGTCGCTGGACCAGGCTGGCCTCGAGATTGAAGCCGCCCACCCCGTTTGGCTCTTAAAAAAACAGAAAAGGGGGCTGGTGAGATGACTCACAGGGTAAGAGCACTGACTGCTGTCGCTAAAGGTCCTAAATTCAATTCCCAGCAACCACATGGTGGCTCACAACCTTTTATAATGAGATCTGGTGCCCTCCTCTGGCCTGCAGGTGTACATGCAGACAGAACATCGTATACATAATAAATAAATCTTTAAAGAAAAGTAGTTTTCTCTTCCTCTTCCAGGAAGTTGCCAAGATTACAGCTAGCCTGCCATGCTGTTTTTCCTGAAACTAATAAAACTGTCCACGACCCAAAATAAAGAATAAATAATAAAGTGTATTGCTTAGTACTGTAAAAGAGGGAGACAAAAGCAAAAATCGATAGGTACTGTCATATAGGAAAATTGAACTTAAAAGGGAATATTTGAATGTGGCATTTTTTTATGTCTGTTAGGTAAGTACTGAGATAAACCCCCAGCCCAAATTGATAATGTAAGTTTGTTTTTTTTTTTTTTTGGACAAGGAATACTTTATTTACATAAAATAAAATTTCAGAGACACCACTGTAGCTTTTCATAATCCTATCCTGGTAAATAAATTGGGGAGACATAGTAGGCGCTTTAAGGATATCTAAATTGAAAAATGGACATAGTAACATCACCAATAAGTTGGACTCCAAAAAAACTCTGTCTAGGATTTTATTAGACTGCTTTTTTTCCCAATATACCTGTATTGGAAGATTGAGACAAAAAGGCACAAACTCACATTGAATAACAGGTAATCCTAATCAGTTCTACAAAGTGTAGTTTGTAAAAGAAGTAGCACTAAGAACCAACCCAAGGAAGTCAGGGGTCCCAGAAGGGACAGTAAAAGGAGAATGTGGAGGGGTGCACATGCCCACAGCAGTGACCCTGTCCTGGCCCTCCCCAGCATCACTCCACAAGAAGGCCAGAGCCCAGCAGGCCTTGTACAGAGACACTGCTGCTTTCGTTGGGAGTACAACCCTGGAAGTCTAATGGAAGCAGCTGGTCTGAAGGGGCATGACACACCCTCATGGATGATCACCAGACTTGAGCCTGTCATCACAGCCCTATGAGTGCTACTCAGTTTTGGGGTGGGTAAGGAAAGGGGATACTTAAAAGCCAACACTTGCCCAGCAGCAACACCACCCATGGCAATGGGACAGACCAGGGCCATCCCTCTTTTGTGTTTACGTGAACAGGAGCCCTAAATCCAGACTGAGCTTGGGAAATTCTAGTTGTATCATTTGGATGCTTTCAAATGTGGGCAACAGCTGGAGGGGCGAGAGCAAAGGCAGGAAGAGCAAGCCAGGACTGGAGCTAATGTGACTGATGTGTATGGATCTCAAGGTGCTGAAGGAGACTTCTGACCCTCACCCCTAAATAAACAACTATCTGCTTAGAGTATCAGTTAACTCTCAAGATAAGTTATACCTGGACTTCAGCCTAGTTAATGAAGGAGGAAATGCTTTAACCATAAATATGATTGACAGGTAATACAGAGCTCATAGGAGAACATTTATATTTTTTCCATTGGGAAAGCTTTTTCTCCACCTTTCCCATGCTGAGAGGTTAATCAAAAACCAAGATGCCCCAAGTGCATTCCTACAGACTTCATACTGAGGGAGACTAATACAGAGGAAGGTTTCTGTAACAGGACATCTCCTGATCTCAAAAGAACCTCAATGAAAGTCAGAGCTAACCATGCTGAGGGCCAAATCTGTCTACCGTTGTTCCAGGAAGACCATAGGGAAGCATCCAATCAGGATGTCACAGGTAAGGTCCTGTGGAACATTCCTTATTGCACTTAGAAATGAGTAAGGCAAACAAACTAACAAAAAAACAAGGATCAGTTATCACAACCTACTTCTTACTCCCCCAACCAGAGACGTGATCTCTTTCTAACTGGTACCGGGCTAACATGAGCTTGGATCACTGCACACTGGGCTGACTGAACAGGCTTGGGAAATGTCGGTGATACAACTACTTTATCCCACCAGCAAGGCATACTCTGTTCCTGCCAATCTAGAAAAACTAGGAAGGGCTCAGCAGCTTCTACTGCCCTGGATGCTGGGCACCACCAGCCCACTGTGAGCATTCTAGGCCACAGTCACTGCTCGCTTTTGATTGTCCAGGACAGAACTCAGCATGGGGCAGGACAAGCTGAGTTCTTGATCTGCAAATTCCTTTCCGGGGGAGTAGGAACAGGAAGGTGCACGTGTTGCTAGGGATGAAAGCTTTTTGCATGCTTATTTTGTACAGCATGAAAAGACCGGGACTTGCATCCTAACCCGCCTCAAAGAGGACCCAGAGGTCTAAGAAAGCACAGAGAAGGGATTATTGCTGAGTGGCAGCACCAGCCCAAAAGGGAAGAGGAGCATGGCTGTCCAGTGCTCCTCGGGGGTCTGACCGGCATCTATAGGCCACACTGAACAGTTCTCCAGGTGGGCAGTGATGGGTTTCTTGTAGGCTTTGCAAAGAGACTCAGACAGGGTGGGCAACAGGAGGGCTGAGAAGCCAGGATTTCTAAGAATATTAACCAGAGATGCAATGACTTGAGTAGGGGTTATTTATTATTCGCTAAATTTCCTCGGACTGGCTGAGCACTGGGTACCTTCTAGGTGCTTAGAGCACTCCAACAAGAGATTACTAGGAGCAGAGGTCAGGGTTATAAAGCCACATTCCTACTGTGAGGAACTGGGGACAGGTATCTCTGTATTGTTAACTCCTCCTCTCTCCCCAAGTGAATACTCAACATTGCCAAAAAGCTGCCCACGAAGCAAAACAGCTCAGTTTATCCCAAGGCTGAAATAAGTGAGCTTAAATAATCATATCACAAAAGGCAGCTAATTTGAAAGACTAAAAATGTCACTTGGAAATAAAGGGGGAGGACATACAGAAATGGGTCAGAACACAATGGAGAGAGGGATGAGCTGTGAATACAGCGGTGTACACCATCTATCTTAGAGGATCAGGCTCCCGCACACACAGGCTTTGTAATACCAGACGGTCTATTTGTTCACAATGTTAAAGGGCATCTAGAAATAGCTACAGTAAGGGACTGAAAGTTGCCTGAAGAATGAGCACAGAAAGGCTGCGTCCAAAGATGGCCTGCCACTCAGGAGGGTGGAGCTGCTGGGCCTTCCTGTTGACCACTGTCTTGCAAAACTAGAAAAAAAAAAAAAAAAATAGAAATTATTAAGGAAGCAGCAAGGGAAAAACAGAAGCACACAGTAAATCATGGTGAGTGGAGGAATTTCAGGAGGAAGGATGCCAATTGGTTGAGGCCTTGGTCTCCCAAGACCCTGGCACTGACTATAAAACTGGAAGCTGCTTAATCCTCTCCTTCCCTCTCCCAGGAGCTGCTTAAGCATATGGGTTGGGCTGGGGATTCAGTCTTGCGTAGCATGCACAGAGCCCGGGGTTTGATCCCAGCACTGGAAGGAAAAGAACACAGGACAGCCAGAGAGCAAAAATGCCCTAGGTTTCCTTAGCCTCTGAGTGCTAGAGAGTGCTCAGTTTTCTTTGATCTAATAATTTCCTCAACTCTAACTGGGACAGGGCCAGGTTTCACTCTGCACTGCAGAATGAGAGGCAGCACTAGAATCTAACTGAAGGACAGGCCTCGGGGAAGAATGACAGGTAAAAGCAGAAACACCCCACCTCAGCCCTCGACCCGGCTGAAAGGTCTTCCAGGGGCTGGGAGATGCTGCCTTTGTTGACAACAGAGCTACTTAGTATATTGGCACCAGGTCACCAAACGTGGTGGATGCTAAAGCTATCCAGCTAGTTTTCCAAGGGAAAGTAGGGAAGTACCCCAGCATGGCAGCTTGAAAGGGCTCAAGTTACAAGTGGGGAAGAACGATAGTGGCAATGAACTGGGCTTCCACTCCTCAGCACTCTGCCACGTCCATCTGTGTGGGTCTTTATAAAAATGTCCCTGAAACAAACCTAACAGTCGGAACTCCTTTCTATGGAAACCCAGGACTTCCATCTTTAGCATGGCAGGCACTACCATTACTACAGAGAAGGATGAGGACTGAAGTAGATTTTCTCATTCCACAAGGAGCTGATGAGGCCGTGAGGACCCAAACGTGGTCAGAATGAAATTCAGTACGTACAGTGCAGAAAGGGGCGGGTAGTGTTAGTCATCCGCTGTCATTCCTTTCACTGGGTCCTTTTGTCTCATCTGGAACAGAAAAAGCAGAAATTGAAAGCTTTTGCTGCTGATTGAACTCACCATAAACGTACCATCTTCTCAATCCTGCAAACAGACAAGGCAGAACATTTGTGTGTGTGTGCAAAGCCAAAATGATAAAAGTTTGAATAAATAATACACCAGACCATACCTTTTACAGCTCCGTCACAGGTCCTTCCACCCACAACTTAAAAGTTACCAATGCCAAGCCAGGACCTATTTTTTCTCTGCTTTTATTTACTCACCTAATTCTGTTTTTTAGATTTACTCTTAATTTACTTTTTTTTTTTTTTTTTAAGATTTATTATTTATTTATGCAGCATTCTGCCTGCATTTGTGCCTGCAGGCCAGAAGAGGGCACCAGATCTCATTATAGGTGGTTGTGAGCCACCATGCAGTTGCTGGGAATTGAACTCAGAACCTCTGGAAGAACAGCTAGTGTTCTTAACTCTGAGCCCTATTTACTTAATTTTTAACTTCTACTTTATTTGTTTGTTTCCGAAGCTCAAGGACAACTTTATTGGAGTTTAAAAGCAAACTACTGCCTGAGTTAAGTGAAGATCCTGACAGGCCAGGAGGTGATGGAGAAAAACCATGCCCTTTAAGTTAGGCACAAAATAGAAATAGACTACTTATTTTTTAATATAATTTTTAATTTATTACAATTTATTCACTTTGTATCCCACCCTCATCCCCTCCCTAGACTACTTACTTTTATAATTATTTTCATTTTATGCATGTTGAGTATTTTGCCTGCTTGTATGTATTATATATACCATGTATGTACCTGGTGCCCACAGAGGCCAGGATAGAGTTAGAGGCGCTCCTGAGGTGCCGCGTGTATGGCAGGACTTGAACCTGGGTCCTCTGCAATAGCAACAAGTGCCCTAAACCACTGAGTCATCTCTCTGGCCCCAGGACTGCTTATTAAGAAAGGAAAAAGAACTACCAAAAAATGGAAGTGGGCTCCTGGGCTGAAGAATTAGCCCTTAAAACCTATTGTTTTTTACATTAAAAATATTTTGTGTGTTGGGGGTGGGCAGTAGAACACATACATGTCACAGTGCACATGTGAAGGTCAGAGGACAACGTTCAGGAATGGGTTTCTCCTTCCATTTTTATTTGGATTCCAGGTGTTGACCTCAGCACCAGCCTCTCTCTCCATTTCTGTTACACTGGAGCTTCTTGGGGCTGGAGAGCTGGCTTAGCAGTCAGGAGTACTTGTTCTTGGAAGAGGACCGGGGTCGACTCCCAGAAACCACATGGCAGCTTACAACCCTGTTCCTGTAGTGTACATACATACACACAGGCAAAACTCTCATTCACATAAAATAATAAATCAATCGAAAAAATGAAACTTCCTATCAAAGAATGTGGCCACCTTCCTTCCTGTCAAGGGACAAGGGCTGCTACGGAATGAATTCACTGTTTCATTGTTTTAAGCTTAGAGTAAAATGTCCTGAGTATGCTTGATTCCTGTTTCTTGGGGCCTAATGATACGGAAGGGTTTTGTTACTGTTCTATTTTGTTTTCTGAAACAGGCTCTCACTATGTAACCCTGGCAGATCTGGAACTCCCTATGTCAAACCAGTGATAGCACATACTTCTAATTCCAGTGCCTAGGGAAGCTGAGGCCTGGAGACCTGCTGGGGTAGAGGCTCGCATAACTGTGTAGACTTGGCTCATTTCAAACTTCAGTGATTCTAATGATCCTGTCTCCCGGCTCAGAGTTGTATTATTATTTTGGTTTTCTGAAACAGGGTCTTATGTACCCCAGGCTGGCATCAAACTCAGAATGACCTTCAGTCTTCACTTTCCCAAATGCCAGGACTACAGGCATGTGCCAATATAGCTGTCTTTGGCTTCAGTTTTTGTTTGTTTGGCACTTAACTATCACAATAGTCCTGACAAATTAAATTGTCAAAGCTATGACTGTGTTTTAATACACTGGCCAGTATTCCAGATGGTCTGCTCTGGATAGCGATCTGTCAGGTCAGAGGAAATGAAGATGAGAGCTTGCCTCCACAGATGCTAAGGGAATCTTTTACAGGTATATACTTAGTGTCGGAGTGTATATTCTCTTTTGTCTAGCCTAGCAGCTGAGCTCAGTAGGAGTGGCTTCTCCTCATCAGCCTAAACCTTGAAACACCATAACCCAAAATTGTCAACTCCAGATGTGGTGTCCGCTAGACACTTTAGCTTTTCAGCTAGCCACACAGGGCCAACTTCAAAAGGGATGGTATAGAGGGACCAGAAAAGTTATGGGGCAGATGGAGAAGACCCACAATAGAAAAGAAAATACTATAAGGTCATTTGGGGTTTTTGTTGTTGTTTTGTTTTTGTTGAGACAGGGTCCATATATAGCCCTGGCTGTCTTAGAACTCTCTATATAGACCAGGCTAGCCTTGACCTCAGGGTCTGTCCGCCTCTGCATCTCTAGTACTGGGATTAAGGCCATATACTGCTATGCTTGCATACTACAGAATCTTTCCTTCCTTCATTCATCCATTCATTCATTTATTGTATATGAGTGCTCTATTTTCATGCACAGCAGAAGAGAGAATCAGATTCCATTACAGAGAGTTGTGAGCCACCATGTGGCTGCTAGGAATTGAACTCAGAACATCTGGAAAAACAGCCAGTGCTCTTAACTGCTGAGCCATCTCTCCAGCTCCCCACAACAGAATCTTAATCACAAAAACAAAATAATTTTGGGGGTGGGGATGTAGCTCAGCTGGGAGAGTGTCTACCCAGCATGCACCCAGCCCTGGGCTTAACCCTCAGCACAGCATTAACTGGGCAGAATGCTGTGCTGCCTATAATCCCAGCACTGAGAAGCTGAAAACAAGGAAATCAAAAGTTCAAGGTGATCCGTGCCCACAGAAAGAGTCTGACTACAAATACTGTCTTTTTTAAAAACAACAACAACAACAAAGCCAAAAAGAAAAATATTTTTAGGCTCTGTAAACACGGTATTGGAAAAACCCAGTCTTGTGCCTGCTAGACAACTACTTTACCACCAAGACATATCCCAGCCCAAGAAATAAATTTTTAGACAAGAGAGGAAACAAGCTCAGGCTCCAGTTAGCACATGAAGGAACATTCCACAAGAGGCAGGTGGATCTCTGTGAGTTTCAGCCTGGTCTACAAAGGGAGTGCAAGACAGCCACGGCTACACAGAGAAACCCCATCTCAGAAAATAAACAAACAAAACAAAGAAAGAACAACGTCCTAACTCTGCCAACTACCAAGTTTGGGGTGTGAGAAAGACAAATATCTAAGACCATTTGGAGACTTCTTCTAAGAACTAGAGCACTGCTCTATCTGTTTGTCTATTTACCTATCTCCCCCGCCCCCAAGACAGGGTTCCTCTGTGTAGCCTTGGTTGTCCTGGACTTTATAGACCAGGCTGGCCTCAAACTCACAGAGACCCACCTGCCTCCGCCTCCCGGAGGGCTGGGATCCCAGGCGTGCGCCAGCACAGCTGGCTCTTATCTATTTTATTAATACTGTGGATTAAACCTAGAATCTCACACATGCTAACTGTTCCAAAGAATTTACAAAAAACAATAAATGCTTCCATGAAACCCTATTACTTTATGCTGGCCATTGCCAGCCAAGGGGTCACTGAACAACATTCCCTTCAAACCCCAATTAAAATCTTCCTGCTGCTCCATCTGCTAATTTTTTTTTTTTTTTTTTTTTTTTAGAGGTCAGGGGCAGGACTAGGGTGACCAAAAGATTCAAGCCACTCTCTCACAAAAACAGAATCAGCCAAGTGACTTCGGTCTACAAGTCCCTGAGGACCCTTCCCAAAGAATCAGAGACTGTGCTGCAAACCTTGCCTGTTAGGTGTCTGAATAAATAAACAGAGCAGCGGCCTTCAGCAGGAACTAACTTGCACACCACTTACTAGTGAGCCAGTCCGGGAAGAACGTCATCCCAGGAAGTAAAAACAGTTTCCTGGGAGGCTCCAGAAGGAAGAAGGGCTCTGGGCCCAGGTTCTGCCCTGGACCAACACTGTGAAGCACTGATCATCTGTGTGGTGTGCACCAAGGCACTTGAGCCAGGACCTCAGCTGAGGCAGGGCCAGCTGAGGCCACTGGAAAGCATGTCCTCTGCGGGACACTCAAGCGACGAGGGAGTGGTGGCACGGCGCTTCCTGCCTTAGGAGGGCGGAAGTGGCCCCACTGACATGTAGAGTAAGACAAGTGATCAAGGGCTGTGGCCCAAGGCCGGACAGCACTGGGCTCCCACACTGAACCACCACCTACAGGCTGCAGTGGGGCAGTGCTGAGGCCTCAGAGCCTTCCGCCGCAGGGCCCTCTCACACTGTGAGGGAGACGGGTGCCCGGTGACTCTCACTGAGCACCTCCCCTAAGTAGTCTCTCGGGCAGCCTCCTTAAATGAGGCAAGAGTGCTGGGTCTTTAGGCATCCCTCCTGGGATCCATGCCGAGCTCAAAAACAAAACACCTAAACAAAAATAAAAAACAAACAATCGCCCAACCTGTCCTAATAGCTGGAGAAGACAGAGGGGCTTCTGCATGCACTGCAGTGTCCTCTAGGTAATGCGGGTGGCACCAGTAGATCAACCCAAACTGCCTAGCTCAGGGTCACCTCCAGTTCCACAGCCCCTGCCCCACCCTCACTGAAGACTCCCTGCAGTGGCTGTATTAATCACTTGGCATCAGGTACAGATTACCATATTTGTCTCCGTGGCTGTGCCAAGACCTCAGCCACACATATTCCCGAGCAGCCTTCTCCGTAGAGTTACATACTGCCTGGCAGTAACCTTATCCACAACAGAGCCAGGCTTGTTCTTAGAACAACAGGCTGATGGTGCCCTTATGTGTCTCCTTGACAGCCACGCACTTATGAGTTCCCTGGCATCAGGCTCACCTCATCCAGCTGTCTCTTCGTCTCTTCTTCCATCCTCCGGATATCGTCCATGGTCAGATCAACCCATTTATCGAGCCAACAGAATAGCTGCCTGTGAAAGTTCGTAAACAGACGCTTCTCTTGCTAGAAAAAGGAGGGAAGCAAGTCAGAACCTGGAACATAAAAGCTTCTCTATATTTTCCCCACAGTTTATTGGGGGGAGGGGAGTGACAACTGGCTGCCTCATCTGGATCAGACACAGTTCGGTGACATTTGCCTTCCTGTTTCTGGCAGGCAAGTGTTCCAGTAAGGAGCTGTCCACCTCACAGCTAAGTGCTTTGTCCCAAACACCACCAAGACAGGCAGCTCATTGGATCTGGCCGAGCTGAGGCCCCCGACAACTGCCACATTTCCTGCTGTTTCTGGTGCCTAATGCCAGGTTAGGACTGGCCAGCAGGGGGCTGGAGAGATGGCTCAGAGGTTAAGAGCACTGTCTGCTCTTAACCTGAGTTCAATTCCCGGCAACCACATGGTGGCTCACAACCACAATAAGACCTGGTGCCCTCTTTTGTCATGCAGATTTATATGCAAACAGAGCACTCATATGTAAAATAAGGAAATAAAGAAATGTGGCCCCAAAGTATGAGAATTGAAAGGCTTTAAGTCTGTTTACTTCTGTAATTCAGGGCACTAAAGAAACTGCTTCATACTGCCTCTTGCTTTTTGGCCTCAAGAAAAGGGAAACAAGTTTTCTTTGTAGTCCAAGCACAGCAAATCCCTTCCTGTGTCCTCCTTCCTCATCAGTTCCTCCCGGTTTCTTTCTCATCAGTTTCTGCGGCACTGTAGCTGGCTCTAGAATGTAGGATAGCATGTGCAAGGGAGAGGAAGCAGCAGGCTAAACAACCAAAGACTCCGATGCTAGCAAGAGTCAAACTGCTCTCCCAGGACAGACACAGACACGCGGAAAGGCCTCATCCTGCATACTTACCTTATGTATAAAGTTTTCCACTTTGTTCTGCAAGCCCCACCACTTGAACTTGACAGTAACCAGTTTGTATGCACACATATATGGGCAGTCTTTCTGATTTACAAGTTCTTGCTGCAGTAGAAAAATACCCAGAGGCAGGCTGGTAACTAAAAAGAAAGACCTCAGGCTGTCTGAACCCCACCCACACCCTCCTCCATTAGGAGGGGCCCACCCACAATTTGTCTGGACCCCTGGTAGTAAGGGTGTGAATTGTACCTTCCAATTTGGGCCCAAAGGTCCTCGTCCTGTTTTGACAGATTTAAATTTTGCTGGATCTTCCTCTGCCTTGTAATCCTGAGAATAGTAGAAATGGGGTTTGGAAAAGAGAGAGAAAATGAGGGAAGGAGGAAAGAGGTGAGGAAGAAGAAAATTTTTCATAGAGAGCATTTCAATACTAGTTCTTTTCAGTTTGTCTGCTTTGAAACAGGCTCTATGTAACCCTGGCTAGCCTGCACCAACTCACTATGTAAACCAAACTGGCTTTGAACACCCAGCCATCTACCTGCCTCTGCTACCATAGCCAGCTTACAGCAATTCTTGAAGTTTCTGTATAGAGTATGGGGTAAATGTTATAGACAAGATAAAGAACTATGTGATAGATAATTTTTTTGTTTTGTTTTTAGACAGGGTTCCTCTGTGTATATAGCCCTGGGCATTTTGGAACTCACTCTATAGTCCAGGCTGGCCTTAAACTCAGAGATCCAACTTCCTCTACCTCCCAAGCGCCGGGATCAAAGGTGTGCGCCACCACCACTTGGCTGTGCTGGATAGTTTTATGTTAACTTGACATAAGCTAAATCATTGGAGAGGAAGGAACCTCAGTTAAGAAAAACCCAAAAGATTGGGTTGTAGTCAAGCCTGTAGGAAATTTTCTTAATTAGTTATTGATAGGAGAGGGCTCAGCCCACTGTGGTGGTGCCATCCCTGGACTGGCCGGGCTGAGGAAGCCATGGGGAGCCAGGCACTAAGCAGCACTCCTCCATGGCCTCTGCATCAGCTCCTGCCTCCAGTTTCCTGCCCTGTTTGAGTTCCTATCCTGGTTTCCTTCAATGATGAACTATGATGTGGACTATGATGTGGACATGTTAGCCAAATAAACCCTTTGCTCCCCAAGTTGCTTTGGTCATGGTGTTTCATCACAGCAATAGCAACCCTAAGACAGACCGTTTACACTTGCTTCAGGGGAGAGGTCTGTGTGATTTTTCTCTGCCAGGGTTTGTTTGCAATTTTATCAGTATCAAAGTATCAGCAGACCATCTGAACAAGCATTTATTTCCACTTGAAAAGACAGAGTTTTCGACTTAACTGAGCATCCAAATTCCTAGAAGATTTTCAAAATACAGATTTCTAGGCCATCCTACCTAAGTTACAAGAGACTTAGAATATCTTGAGAACAACATGGATTTTTTAAAAAATTATTTTATTAGCTGGGAGTTGGGGGTGCACATCTTTAAGCTGAGCACTCAAAGGGCAAAGGCAGTTGGATCTCTGAATTTGAGGCCAGTCTAGTCTACAAAGTGAGTTCCAGGACATCCACGGCTGCACAGAGAAATCACTGTTTGTGAAATATCTTCACATATTCAGTTTGAGGAAATTCACCTGGACGTACACTTATATTCACTTTGCTATGTAGACTGTATTCCAGTAAAAGTGGCATCATTATTTGAAAGAGTCTCACTTTAAGCCCAAGCTGGCCTTGAACACTTAAGTCATTTTGCTCCAGAGTCTAGAAAATAAGATTCTAGTCATGTGCCACCGCACTGGGTACGCACTCTTTGGGAACGCACTAATAAAACTCTTAGTCAGCCCAGGGAACTCTTAACATTTATTTTGGAAATAGCCATGGCAGGAAATTTCGTGAGACCCAGCCTTAAAAAATAAAAACGTTAGCTGGAGCTGGACAGTGGTGGCACGCGCCTTTGATCATAGTACTCAAGAAGCAGAGGCAGGAGGATCTATATGACTTCAAGGCCAGCCTGGTCTAAAGAGTGAGTTCTAAAACAGCCAGGACTACACAGTGAAACTCTGTCTCGAAAAACTGAAACTAAATAAATACATACATGCATATGTATATCAATATAGAGGTTAACAGGCGTGGCACACAGCTTTAATCTCAACACTGGGGAGGCAGAGGCAGGTTGATCTCTGTGAGCTCTCAGCCAGCCAAGACAACATAGTGAGACCCTGTCTCCGGGAGAAAATAAAAAATAAACCACAGTGCTGGGCATGTAGTTGAGTAGCAGAGTGCTTCTCTAGACATAAAACAAATAATGCACACCAGAGAGGGCTTCCTTTTGACGCAAACTAGGTGAGGTTCCCTGGTTTCTTTACCATCGACAAGTTAATGTTTTGCGCCAGGTCTTCAGGAGTGCCTACCTTGCTAAGCACTTGGCTTCGATCAGCAATGTCTATATATATAGCTTCCACATGTTTCCATGCCTCAGGCTCCAGTTTATGCACCTGCAAAGAAACGGGAGAGTACTTGCTGTGCACACGCAGTCCTGCTAACAACAAGCACCCTTTCCTCGGTGGACGTCTAGGAACAGCTCTTCCTGCAGGTACTGGCTGGACGTTTCTACAGTAAAGCATCACACGATGGTGGCGGAAAATGGCTCGGAGGGTAGGAGCAGTGGCTGTCCTTCCACAAGGGGAACATTCCGCACCTGATCTCATATGATGGGTTGCACTCAAATGAAGCTAAAAGTTACATGCATTAAAAATGCCATGTGAAGTGCCTCTAAGCTGTGTACAGAAGCATATAAAACACAAACGAATTTCTTATCTTTTCTTGGGGGGTCCCTTCCCTAATATATCTTGCTGTTTGGAAACATTCTAAGTCTGAAGTCTGAAATAGTACTGGCCCCAAGGATTTCAGATAAGGGCTTCGTAACCTCACAGTTGGGGTAGAGAGTTATTCAAAGATACTTGGAAATTGGACACAGCAACAGGATCTGTCTTTTTTCAATTCAGCAGGCTCCACCTGCCCCTGAGTTTCTGCTGCCCCCTGGTGAGGACTACTCAGACCTGCAGCCTTCTCACAAATTCAGCGTACAAAAGCTACTTACAAGAGTAACCCTTTCTCTAGCTCACCCCCAGCCCGACTCTGACTCCAGTAACAGATGGTACTGTGTGCAGACTCTCCTTTAATGTCCGCAGCAGCATCTATACACAGGTTCACATCTTGCTCTTTTTAGGTTTATTTATCTTTTATTCATATACATGTGTATCTGAGTGTCTGCAATGAGAGTGTGTAGGACCCATCAGGGGCCAGAAGAGTGTTGGATCCCTTAGTGGAGACACAGGTGGTTGTGTGGGTGCATGGAACTGAGCTCAGGTGCCGTGGAAGAGCTATGAATTGCCGGGCCATCTCTCCAGCATATGACAACGTCTCATTGTGAGCCCTGGCTGGCCTGAAACTCGTTATGTAGACCAGGCTAGCCTCATACTCAGAGTTCTGCTGCCTCTGCCTCTTGGGTGCTGGGATTAAATGCTATTATGCCCAGCCTTATCTTTTTTTTTTTTTTTTTTTTTTTTAATTTCTTTTTCAAATTTTTGGACATATTCACTCCCCAACTCATATTACCACCATCTGTGTTACCCAAGTAACCTTGGGGGTCAGGCCTGCCCTAATGCGGGATCAACCTACCAGGGGTCAATCTTTAAAGAAAACTGACTCTCTGTGATAGCTATTCTTTTGTTTGTTTGCTTGGTTTTTGTTGTTCTTGTTTTGTTTCTTTGAGACAGGGCTTCTCTGTATAGTGCTGGCTATCTTAGACTCACTTTGTAGACCAGGCTGGCTTCGAACTCACAGAGACTGGCCTGCCTCTGCTTCCCAGAGTGCTGGGATTACAGGTGTGTGCCACCATGCCTGGTTTGTGATAGCTATTCTTGGTTATCAACTTGACTACATCTGGAATTAACTTAAGCTAAAATGGCTAGGTACATCTGTGTGGGGTATTTCTTAAGTTAAATCATTTGAAGTGAAAAGATCCATCTTGAATGCAGACCACATCTTCTGATGGCAGCCTATATCATGGATTGAACAGCTATTGGATTCTTGGACTTTTTTTGTTTTGTTTTGTTTGCGACCAGGTTTCAGGACAGCTGTCCTGAACATCCTCTGTAGACCAGGCTGGCCTTAAACTCACAAAGATCTGCCGCCTCTGCTTCCCGGGTGCTGGGATCAGGCATGCGCTACCATGGGGCTGATTCTTGGACTTTCTATTGGTGGACAGGTGGACCACTGCCTGTAAGCCACTGATAACCCCCCTTCCCCTCTTTCTCTCCAGATTCATTCCATCAGTTCTGCTCTTCTAGAGAACCCCGACTCAGTAGCAATCAAATGCCAGTAGCTGTTGTGCTGGAAACACTGCTGCTGTCAACCACTGCAGGCGCTTACAAGCTTTCTACTCCCTCGGGAGACGGATCACGAAGCTTTGTGGGGAGGATGTGAAGGCCCTATTTAGGGCTGAGCACGTCACAGTCCTTTACTGTCTATACACTGACTAATTGGGAGTCTGAGTTAGCTGGCAGCTGTGGAAGAAGAAGCCTCTGTGAAGATACTGAGGTGCTCTGCTCTGTGGTACAGCAGTAAGCCATTAGGCATCATTTAGTACATGTCCATTTAGCAGAGTAATAGTACAGGTCCTCCCAGGGTCTGTGACCTTTACAGCCACCAATTCTAACCCTTTAACCTTTAACCCTTTACCTGCTTTTTACACTCAACAATATATGTAGGATTGTTTCCTTTTTAGTTTTGAAGCAGCATCTCATTCTGTAGCCTTGGCTGTCCTGGAACTCATTATCTAGAACATACTGACCTCAGAGATGCACCTGTCCCTGCCTCCACAGTGCTGGAATTAAAAGGCACATGTCACCACACCCAGCTCCCCAGCTTTTTCATGGGTGCATAGTATAGCACTGTCTGGCTGCACAATCTACTGGTGTCCCACTGACAAGAGTCGCATATTGCCTGTTTCACATGTGGCCAAACAGCCTCACATGTGCCCGGGTACAGACATGAATTAAGGGAGCGTGAGGATACTCTGAATTTGGAGAAGTACTACAATTACCATGTTTTAAAGACATTGTTCCTGGGTACCCAAAACTGCATTTTCGCCAATCCCAGCTCTACAAGAAAGCCCAGGAAAGAATCTTAAGAGACAACACTCTGCAAACCAATGACAGGAAACTACACTGTGGGACAGTCTAGAAAAGCCTTCCTAGCCAGGCAGGAGAGAAGTACAGACATAACCCTGTGTACTGAGGCAGAGCCTAGCGAGATCTGCCAAGGGCCCAGAGCCCTGGGCTCTTGTGAAGTTATACTTACATTCTCCTGGGTGCCAAGGTCTGGCTTGTGCCAGGTTTCAATTTTAATCAGAAAGTCTTCTTTCATGTACTCATTCTGGAAAAGAGATAAAATACCTTAGTGCCCAACAAGGTCAGAGCTGGAGAGTTCTCACTGCCCATTACTGGGGGTCACAAAGGCCTGGAGTTGTGAGACTCCAGCTGCCTGGCCTGGGCAGTCCCACAACCAGGTTTGCTTCAGGCATACAATCACCCTTAGTTTACAGAGGAAGAAAGTGAAGCTCAAAGCGCTAAGTGACTTGGCCAAGACCTCAGAGTGATCTCACAGTCAGGCCAAACGCCATGTTTGTCTGAGCATAGATTTCAGCATTTAACCAGTCCTCCATCATGCCTGATGCACAGGATGCAAATGTAACCAGCAGCCCACAGGTCTCCTAGCTGAGGAGCCGTCTTCATGCTTCACCCCTTTCCCTGCAATGTGCCTTTGGTTGAGGGAAGCCCTTCATGCTAATTTTGTCTCCCTCCCTTGGTGCTCTGAAAAATTCTAACACCTGTTAAAAACTTTTAGCGAAAGAAGCCACGTGAATGAGTTAAAGAGCCCATTGTTCCCTCAGCAGGGATTAGTTCTCCAGCAGGGACAAGCATTTTGGGGATTATGCTTAAGAGGGAGGGCTTGGGGGTGGGGTGAAGGGGGCTGGTTCCAGAAGAGTAGCTTGTTGAAGTCACAATGTTGCCAACAGTCAGTGTTCAGTGGGGTCAACAGATGCTCAAATGGGGAAGGGATGTCAGTTTAGACTGGCTGATCTGAAACTTCTGCATAGCCCTGGGTAGGCATAACCTGTTGAACAGAGGAGAGCCTCAATCCATTCTGTACTTCTGAGGCTCAGAGTCAGGTCTTACCTGGCAAAGCCACAGTCAAAGCAGCTCAAAGCCAACAAACAAGATCCTCATTAGAACTGAAATGCTTGAGCCTTGACAGCCCCAACACCACCCAAGAGGAACAAGAGAAGAGCCAGAACGTCTGGTGCAGGTACACTTTTATTTCTCTTTTTCTTATAAATCAGCAGCAACGCCAATCCTCCTACCCCACCCCTGACAGAAATACTTACTGTAATAACTGCTCCAAGGCAAGGACATGGAAAAAAAGAAAGAAGGAAGATTAATGGAGACGAACAGATTACAAAGAACAAAGACTTCTGCACTCCCCATAGCTTCCTAACTCTAACTAGGTTAGGCTAGAAACTCAGGGTCAGGGTTAGGGTTAGTGGCTACTAGGCCCCAGCGTGCTTTAGGAAATCTCAGTGCACCACCAACTCCCCTCAGTTCACCTAAAGTCCTGAGAGACCAAACCTGGGATTTAATTACAAGGAAATGGATGGTCTCTGATCAGCTGGGGCTGAGGCCCAATCTATCTCCTGTAAAAGCATCCCTCTGGTGCCCCCACACCTTGGGGGCACAGAGCAGGTGCTCTGAGCCAGGCTGGCTTTCTGATGGAGACAGTCTTCCTCACACTGTAACCAAACCTTGCATGCGCTATGCTCTTGCAACTGTAATGGGATCCCTCGGAAAGCACAGGTCAATTATTTATCAGAGAAAATGACTGCAGCTTCCATGTCACTGGGGAAGAGGCCATCTCTCCTCCTGACAGCAGCTCAGTTCATTCTGTACCCCACATGCTTTCCCAATCTCTGATAATGTGTACTGCTGTGTTCAGAGCATACAAAGGGCCAACAAACTCCATCATTCCAAAAACCAAATAAAACAACAAGCAACAAAAAAGTAAAACTAATGTTCCTCCAATGGAAATGAAAAAATGATGACATAAGGGCTATAAACTACCATGTACACTAGTAGCCTGAAAGATTGCCAGTATTTTTCCCAAGCCTGACCAAAGACACTGGAAGCACCAGATTAGGGCTAAACTGGCACCTTGAGAAAGTCATGCTGGGACAACAGAAATGATGCTCCCAAAGATGCCAGTCTGGCAGAGGGGCCATGACACCAGCATGGAGACTGCAGCTCCAGGCTGCCCAGGGTCATGACCTCGCCCATTAACCTTCTCCAGCCCATATTTGGATTCCATGTCTCTAAAACACCCTCTCCTAGTTTGGCTTCTGTAGGACATAAGAATCTGCCCCCTTAACCAAGCTGACAGTTTATAATACCACACTGTGTTATTCTCGTTTTTTCATTTCCCGTGTGGAAGATTCCCAAGGGAAGAAAAAAAAAAAAAATCAGTAACTATGAATAACTGGTGATCCATAATTTTGTATTTCACTGTAACTGCAGAGTCTGCAGGTTTTTCATGTTAGTATGTGAGCCACTGAGAAACACATCCACTCAATTCTGAAAAATGTTGGGGTTCTGAACCCATGAGGGTAAGGAGGACCCTGCTCTCAGCCTGTAGTGTCAGCTCAGGCGACTAACTTCCCTCGAATCATCTCCAATGCCATCCTCCCCTTCCAAACATGTCCGTATCCATAGCAACCACACAGGAAAATGGAGCTTTCCTAACAAAACTAAAAATGTATTTCATTTTAGAGGGAGTTTTTGAGATGAGATCTTGCTATGTCCCCCTGGCTAGCCTTGAAGTTGTGATCCTCCTGCCTCAGCTTCCTGAATGCTAGGTTACAAGCGTTTACCACTCTGTCCAGTCTCTTATTCTCCTCTTTCCATTTCCATTTATCAGCATGAACTGTCAGCTTCATGAGAAAAAGAGAAGGAAATAAAGTAAGAGAACAAAAAGACTTGATGGAGCACACCAAATCTGTTTTCACTGCTCCCAGAATAAGGCTGGAGCCTCCTAAAGGCAGGGGGTGAGTGATCCCACACTCCTTAATTGACCTCTCAAACTTAGATCCACTTAGGCGAGGCTCAACCAGGAGCACAGTAACCTCTGTCCCGTCAACCTCCAGGGAAGAGCAGCAAGAAGCCTTTCCCATCTCTTCTGTCTCTTATTTTAAAAGAGAAGGTAAAAGATGAAGAACAGAGCTAGGATTCAGTGTGTTCATCTGTACCCAGTGGATTCTACCAGGAAGTCGGAAGCTACTAAGAAAGAACCCTTCCCTCCCCTCCCACTGCTGTCTCTCTCTTCATGAGTTTAGAAATTGTATTTTTCTTCCTTTTGTCAAGGACCCACATGTGAAGTGTATGGAAAACTGCCGTGCCAGCTGCAGCACATTCTCCCAAGTTACGCAGCAGACAGTGGCAGCCTTTACCTCACACAGCAGTGCACACAGAAACCCATGCTGTTTGCCTCGAGCTAAGGTTCTTAAAGCGCATGTTCATCAAGGAACGTCACCTTTGTCCCTGCGTGGACATACCCTGCCACACTCCACTCTTTCTTTCTCTTCTTTATTTGCAGCGCTGGAGAGCAAATCCAGGGCCTTGTGCTAGAGAAGCACCTTACCACTAAATTACTTCTGCAAACCTGATCTGGACTTTTAGGGCTGGGCCTACAGGGAAGGATGGGAGAGGGTTGGAGTTAAGGCAAAGTCTTTCCACATAGACCAGGCTAGCCTTAAGCGTAACAGAAATCCAGCTGCCTGTTTCCCAAGTGATAGGATTCCAGGAGTGGGCCACTCCGTCTGGCTCGTGCACACCGCTTTCCAAAATTACGAATCCAAGCTCAGCTGGTGCTACAGGCCTATTATCCTGGTACTTACAAGGTATGAAGCCAGTAGGATGAGGAGTTCAAGGACAGTCCAAAGCTATAAGGCCAGCCTGGTACACTTAAAACCTTCTTACACACACACACACACACACACACACTCAGGTAACAACTTCCTGTCCAGTACACAGGGAGTAGTGAAATTTGCTTTTTCAGTTACAACAGTAAAACTGCCATAGCCTAGGTCCCACCCCATCCTTGATCGTGTCTCCTGATACGAGGTCCTTGAACCTGTATAGGGCCATGGGAGACTGGAGAGAGCAATGACTTCAGTCACCCCAGTCCACAAGATAAGGACACACCTGCTCACCTAAGGGTCACATGCCTACCAGATACAACCTAAGGAACGGACAGAAAACAGCCAGTGAAGCAGTACAAGTGAGCAGAGGCTGGCGCAGCCAGAGCTAGCCTGCCTGTGCCAACGAGCGAAGGCCAGCAGGAAGAAAGAACACCGGCCTTGGAGGGGAGCTCAATGGACATCTAGGGCTACCTGGCATGTGAATCAGTGCCAGCAGAGTCCTAAGAGATCTATTCCAAAGAGACCCACCTGCCTCTGCCTCACGAGTGCACCGCCATGTCTGACTTATGACTTATTTTCATTTTTTTAAGACAGGGTCTCACTCTGGCTGGTCTTGAACTCCCTATGTAGACCAGGCTAGCCTCAAATGCACAGGAATTTGCCTGCCTCTGCCTCACAGTGCTGAGATTAAAGGTGTGTGCCACCAAGTATGATCTATTTCCCAAATATTTTTCATCTGGAGTTTATGAAATCATGGACACAGAATCCACAGATACTGTTGGCCACCTATACACTCACATACTAGGATCTTTTGTTGCTACTATAAATATCAAGAAGCAAATATTGTTGTGAAGAGATGGCTCAGTGTTTAGGAGCAGAGGAACTAGACTCAGTTTCCAATGTCCACAGGGCAGCTCATACCCATGTGTGACCCCAGTTTGGGGAGTCAAATGCCCTCTTCTAGCCTCAGGAGACACCAGGCTACACATGGTGCAAACACACAAACGGAGGAAAAAATAGACATTAGGAAAAAAAATCAAAATTAGTTTTTTAAAAATTTAACAATTTCAGTCAGCAAGAAAAGCGAACATGTAAAATGTCTTTGCCACCAAACCTGATGGCTTAAGTTTGTCCCCAGGATCTGCATAGTGGAAGGAACCGACTTGTAAAAATTGCCATTGACTTCCATATGCATACTATCTCTCTCTCTCTCTCTCTCTCTCTCTCTCTCTCATACACACACACACACACACAGATAAATGAAGGTAATCTTAAAAAAATTTGTCAATCAGCTACACAATATATAAAAAATTAGTAATCATCTAAAAATTTCTCTAGAAAATGGTCTGGAGATTTTATATGTACACAATAAGTATAAAGTCATACAACATCCAAAAGAAGGCTAGAAAAAAAAAACACTGCAGTGTTGGCAGTAATGATTACCCAGAGATAAAGGAATCACCAGTTCTTATTTTCTAAAACATATTCAGTAAGCATTACTTTTGTAATCATTAAAAATAATCAAAATTATCAAACTAACCCCAACAAGAGGAGTTTGTGTTTTTGCTCTGTGCTGTCCCTGGCTATGCCTGTCACCTTGGCTAAGTAGTATATGGTATGGGTCATACTGACGCTCCCAAGCCCGAGACAGCCTTCATCCCTTCACCGGCTTTCTCTGAAGAGTCAAGGTGGACACGAAGCCCTGACTAACTCTCCCTCCAGCCTTACTTCTGTCCAGTGTGGAACCAAATCTCAGCTCCAGGCAGCCCCGCACTCACCGGTTCTGCAGTAAGGGTAGGCATTCCAGGCTTTCTCATGTATATTCAGAGCTCCTTCTGGGGCCAGCATTCGAACAAACGTGGGTACTTTGCTGTAGTGAAAAAAAGAGGCGATGAACAAAAAAATTGAGGCAAGAGAAAGGAGAAAGAGAGAGAAGCTTTGCAGAGCAGTCTCCAGCCCATAGCTCCTGATTTCTCAGCGTCAACAGCTGACAAGTAAGCTTCCATGAGATAAGCAGGCAGCTGCGCTTGAGAAGACACCTGCCAGAGCCTGACACCTCAGCTTGACTGGCTACACACACAACCAAAACCTGTCCTGCCACGCACATGAGCAAGCCAGCTGGTAAGCCCCTGGGCTGCCTGCTGCCACTGTCCAGCTGTGCCACTCTCATTCCGGTCTCCCAGAGCCCACTGGGTGTGAGGCAGGCCGTGCAGCCGTTGCTCACAGCCCAGGTCTACAATGGGGCCAGCTGACTAACCCAGAAGGTGGGTTCCTAGCCGGGCAGGCGGCTCAGTCAGTAGAGCAGCTCCCTGAGTTTAAAGCCCCAGCAGCACAGAAGCTAGGTGGAGCCGCGCTGGTAACCCAGTGTTCAGGACTGAGGACGGAGACAGAAAGATCTTAAAGACCACTGGCCAGCCAGTCTGACCAATTAGTTCCATTAGAGGCCCTGCCTCAAAAATAAGCTGGGCTGGGAATAGTAGCACAAGTCCTTAATCCCAGCACTCAGGGGGCTGAGTGTGAGGCCATCCTGGTCCATGTGGTGAGTGTTAGGCCAGTCAGGGCTACAGCTTTTCTTTTCTTCTTTTTATTTGTATTTTGTGTGTACAGGTATTAGCCTGATGTGTGTATGTCTGTGTGCTATGTGAGTACCTCATGCCCAGGAAGCTCAGAAGAAGGTGCTAGAGCCCCGGACACTGGAGTTATAACAGTTATGAAGCACTTAATGGCAGCTGGGAATTGAACCTGGATCCTTTGGAAGAGCATCCAGTACTCTGAACCATTGAGCTATCTCTCCAGCCCCTTCAGGGCTAAATCTTTAAGTGAGACCTTCAGATAGATAGATAGATAGATAGATAGATAGATAGATAGATAGATAGATAGATAGATAGATAGATAGATAGA